TGCATGCTTTTTGTTACTTTTTTTTAAAAATTTTTTGTTTTCTTTTACTACTTCTGGTTCTAATCTTAGTTGTCTTCTTTATTTTGTTATTTCTTTTATTACTATTTTGGTGTTGTTTGGCTTGAGTTATTGTTATTACAGGTCGGTGATCTTTGATGACTCACTTCTCGTGAAGAAACAATCTTAGTCTTAGTCTACTTGTCACTGTATCCCACCATAAACAATTGAAATCCACTGTAATTTCTACCGTGTTTCTCAACTGTAAATCTGGTTGTGAAGTAAGCTTTGATTGAGTTGCAAATACTAACTGTAAAATTTCCACTATGACGTTGATTCCGCAGTAACTTTTAATCCGCCATGACAAAAAGTTATACTAACAGACACTGATCACCATTAAAATGTAAAAACAAAATTGTTCGATCCGCATCACATTTATGGGCACTTTTGTCATCTATGCTTGAACCGTGTTAATTGAAAGAAGCACTCTGAGAGCAGCAAATATTATGACGGACGCTTCTCAGAATTTTTTACGCTTTCTGCAGCTTTGGCATGATTTTTCCAGGAAATTGCGAAATTTTTAGAATCAACTAAATATATTTTCGATATACCTGAAGCTGAAACTCTGAAAGTCTCTCTAAAGTGGTTCTGGTCAAAGACATTTAAAATCCGCGAAAGCTCTAATTAAATCCCACAGGATTTTGCATTTTTATAAACTGCCGAGCCGAAACCATTTTTAGGAGCTTCTGAGTTCAAGTTGTAGGAATAAAGGGGTTGTCACATTAGGAGGACCTCCCTAAATAGAAGACTCCCCCCCCTGTACTACAACTGAATTCTACAAGAATTATTCGAATCGAATTTGTAGTTGCCATGCCTGTAATAATTATCACTTTGTTTTTCTGCTTTCTTTCAGCGTGAGTTGACCTGAACCCGACCCGACCCGAATCAATATCTTATACGTTGATCCGACCCGAACGGACCCGAAAATTTTCCAGCTGTGATCCAAACTATACCCGAAACATGAAAATGTTTTCGTACAAAATGTAATAATTCTGGCATCTATGTGTTTTTTTTAGTGTTCTTTCCTAATTCCCTCCCTGATGTACTGTGAAAGTGAAGATGTTTACTTTGCAACAAATTCAAGCGATTTTCTCTCAGAATATAATGTTTCACATTTAACCAGAGATGTGAAACGATCTTATTTGAGTTCACTTTTTGTGCACTTTCTGTCGCATCTGAAATCTCATCTTAGAAATTCAAAATTTCTACGATGAGATATGAAGATGATACGAGTATCATACATGTTTACACATTCTAATTGTGTAACTCCTTTTTAGTTTGATTCCTTTTCGTATGTTAGATTCATCTCTTCATTCTGTTTTAGATCATCTCCTTTTACCGGTCGTCGGTTCTCTTTTTACTACTCAGTCATGTCTTTACCAACAGATCTTCGTGTACCAATGCAGAGACTAGATTCTGCTGATATAAACTTAGCACCAAAACCGGTATGTAGTAATAGACTGCTTATTGTTTTGCTGATTAGTGACATAAGAGCGAGTGGATCACTTTTAAACAAAGAGAACTTTCATCAAGTGTCAGCAATTGAGAAGTCATAGTTTTTGGAATATTGATACGCAAAACAACTGCCAAAATAAAGTTTAATGGTTCACGAAAGCTATTATATTTTTTCTATTTAATACCATTTTAATGTTCTAGTTTTGTTTCCATTTTAGTTACAAGATCTTGTAAGTTATCTACGTCGGATAAATGTAGAAGCAGCCTATGTTCTTGAACAATTAAACCGTGAAAATTCAGATAGAGAAGAAATACTACTGTTACGTAAAATACTGGCAGATTTAGTGGCAACTCGTTTAAAAATTCTTACTTTAATGGAGATTAAGAAAGCAGGTAAACATTTTTGGTGTATTCATATAAAAAGAACTTGATGTGTAGATCTTGCGATTACAAATCTGGCACAAACTTTTCTCATTAGAGACGGATTATGACGGCGACTGGGTTTCAAAAAAAAGAAAGTTTCTTTAACGACGCCAATGTTTTCGTTTTTTTTGCCGACGCCATCATTAGCAATGCAGCACACAGGCCTATGTCAATTTTCTTTCTCTTTTCCTTTGAGATCAAAAAGGATTTTCGTAACATAATCCTTCCTTTTTTTAGGTGATACCAGTGGAAAACAACAGAAGGATAGAACATCACCCACGACCGGTTGCATTGATATATGGGCTTCGGTGAATGGATGTTTTCGTCATCCTGGACCACGTAAGTAATTTTATATTTACAAGTAGGAAAGTAGGAGAAGAGAACTTTTAAGACAAAGGAAGTGAGGTAATAGAATTTGTCAGAATAACTCAATCTTATTCCAACTAATTTCTAGTCAGCCTGTCGTTTTTTCCTCTCAGAAGGACATGATCTGTGTGATCTCGCTTAGGCCAGCAATCGGTTAACTGATATTTGGTTATACCGTAATAGAAGAAATAATGCTCACATATTTTCGATTTCGGTTTTTTAACTGAAAAAGTAAAAAACCGCTTGGAATCACATGAGCAGTGACCTCTAATATTTATTTTGCGTTTTCCTTAACTTTTATGTCTGTTTAATCAAACATCGATTATTTTCGGTTACGATCGTTTGATTAATCAAATTTGTCTTTTCTGTTAAGTTCTTGAAACATCCCTAAGAAAGGTTATAAAAGAAATGCTAATAAAAATTTCAGATAGTTCCCAAATTTCTACGCTGAACTCAGTTCAAGTACAAAGTTTCAAAACGGATTGAAACTCGAACTTGACCTCGAAAATTTTGTTTTATTAATAAAGAAACTCTGTCGAAGATGTTGTTATGAAGTTTAATAACTATCACAAAGATGATAAATAACTGCATCTATTTTTCTTTCTTTATTAGTAACATATGATGACATTAATAGCAGCAAAGAATGTTTGGTGACATCTCAGAGTGACCTGTCGTTATGCCACATGCCTAAATCTGGTATTTTATCAACGTTGTGGCAGAGATTATTTCCATCTTACTATCAAAAAAAAAATGAATGACTTAAAGTCGGTAATGTACAAAATCTCTATTGCTTTCTGCTTATATTGCACCGTACGCGCTTTTGTTGTTGTTGTTGATAGTGTTTGTGGCCTTAGTGTTAGTATTATCGTTTCTATTATCATTGCAGCTATCCTCAAATTAATATCATTGTTTAGTTCTTATTGTTTAGTGCATTAATGACTGAAAACACTTCTGCGTACTTATCAAGTGCCGGAAGTTCAAAATTTGAGGAAAGTCTTTTTCGTATCTTTCTGACATGCTGGGACCATCGAGTTATATAGGAAAACATCAATTTTAGTCCTTACAAAATGATTACCCTGTGAGAAAGAATAAAAGTATTGAGTCAGAGTCAATTAGATGAAATTTATGGGAGTTTTCAAAAATCAGTCAGTTTTGAGCTTTCTTATTTCTTTAAAATATCAAAACTCAGTTTTTCTGATTGACTACGTCAAACTGAGTATTAAATAGTGAACTTGAAATTTTTAAAATCTAAACTGACCTCGGGATCCGTTGAACACGAGCAGCATAGTGGCACATTTCAACGTCTATCTTCGAGACATGTCTCATCCTACGGGTTGTGAGATAAAAAGGTCTTTTCCCTTTGATTCTAGCCATTATCCTATGGGAAATAAAAGTAGATACAGCGACATTACCGCGAACGACTTTACCGCGAACGACATTACCGCGAATACAGAAAACGACATTACCGCGAAGGACATTAACGCGAATACAGAAAACGACATTACCGCGAAGGACTATAACTCGAATAAAGA